GAGAGGGGCCGGCCGACCGAGACCGAAAGAGAACCAGCAGAGCGCACTCCCAGGAAGGACCAACGTAGAACTCGGGAAAGGAGACCCTCCCCTAGAGATGAGACACCGAGGGATCGAGAGAGAGGTGAGAAAAGGCCCAGGCGGTGACGGTGGGGACCAGGAAAGATAAGAGAGTGACGGTGCCTGGGATGCCGTGGAGACGTGTGCAGAGAGAGCGAGAGTCCGCGGCCCGGACGTGCCAGAGGGCACAGAGGCAGGCCTGACAGAGGGAGGGAACAGTAAAGAGAGGATACAGGTAGGAAGGCCCGCGGCCTAGGCAGGGGTTAGGGAGGAGAATGGGCAAAGGCCCCCGCATCTCAATTTGGAAAAGAGTGATGGGGTGCCTCCCGCCAGGGTGCCGGGCCTAACGCCCGCGTAGGGGTGCTGCAGTGGGCAGGGTGCAACTCAAAGAATGGCAGTCGCACCTGTGCTCCACCGCGGGGGCCAACCTCCGCCTCAGTTTACCATGATCGGCCTCCTTTCCCTCCGACTTGCCCTGAGAGGAAAACGTTCTGCAGGCGGATTTGATTGAAATGCAAACCCAAGTGATAGGTGGACACATTCTCCTTGGCAACACGGGAACGCTGTGGGCTGGGTTATGTCCTCCTAGTTAGAGGATTCGATGGAGAGGAAGAGAAAGGATGCAACGTCCCCATTTCCCATCTTTGGAGCATCAAAGGAACCAGGTGGAGCTGAGGGCAGGGATCAGGGGGTGCTCTGAGAGTCTGCCTCCCCATCTCTGAGTCTCAAAGGCTCCTGCAGGACTGAGGGAATCCGCAGCACCTCTTCTAGATCTGTCTTGTAAAGAGAGTATAATCCCAAACCTGAGGTGAACAATCCCAAAGTAAACTCTCTACCGAGTTTGGAGTTTCCATCCTTTGACTCTGCCACTGCTGGGTAAACCACTGCCTGTTTCTGGGCTCCAGCTTTCTGTCCCTTCCAGAAGAGATGTACTTGACACCAAGGAGTTTGTGAGGACTGAGGGAGGGGGTCCTTACCCAAGACCCACAGGATCTCCTGGTTAGGAGGGCAGGGTGTACCTAGGAGGCAAGAGGAGGAGTTGTTGTCCTCCCCTTCACACTCCATAGACTGGGTCCTACCTCCAGCCCCAACCACCACAATCAGTCAGCACCTGGCTCCCAGCTGGTGTCTTAAACCACTCCTACTTCCTAAGTGAGCTCCACACGGAGCCTAAGTCCTCACCTCTGGGAAATGGGCAGCATGCCCTGCCCCCTCCCTAAGCTGATGCAGTTTCTTCAGTTCAGTGGATGGCCAAGGGGCGATCTTGAGGCTCCACCTAGACTGCCCTAGACCGTGGCAGCTGGCCCAGACTCTGGGGAGACTAGGAGATAGCCAAGACCCCTTGTTCATAGGGACTGGGGTAAAAGACAAAGAATGTCTTACCAGAGGCTCTGAGCCACTGCTCCCCAGTTGTTGGGTGACTTTCTGAATCCTAGGGTCATCGTCATGACTGAAGAAGGTGGCCTCTGTGGCCTCCAGTTGTTTCCAACTCCCCAGGGTAAGTGGTTCAATGAGGAAAAATGGTTCTTTGGAAGGGGTGATGTGAGACCTACTAAGAGTAACAGTGGCCCACACCAAGGAGGCCTCTGAGTGATCAAGCAGTAGGGACTGTGTTATGGCTTCTCTTGGGGCTTCTCTTGGTCCAGCACCCACCCCACTTCCGCCTGGGCCAGCAGAGGAAAGCCAATTTCTCCTGGGGTCCTCAGAAGCCCAGAGGGGCTCTCCCCAGTGAGTAGGCACGAAGAGCCCTTCCCTAGATGGGGAGTCCAACCACTTCATTTTCCAATGGGCAATTGAGGCCAACAAGAGAAAGGGACCTACCCAGGCACCCCAGTGTATAGGACTGTCTTTCCAGGGCCCTCGGTCTCAGGGTCTTTCCCCTGGCCTCCACCCTCCCCATCCCAGTGTCCTTTGCCTCCTCCTCTTCCTCCCTGCTTTCCCACCTTCCAAGGGGCTTAGACCAGGGTATCCTCTAGAGATTTAGGCCCAGACAGCCCCCACCCCACCCCTCACCTCTTATTTAGATTCTGAGAGAAGTCACCCAGATTTGAAATGTGCGCAGCCCAATTGCAGCCCTGAGGGTCTCACATGCTCAGGATTGGGGTCCTGCATCTGAGCATTTATATTGTTGATCAGCTGTCACCGAATCTACTTTACCACCTGTCAGCTTCTTAGGGCAACTCTCTGGTCAGGTTGTTGTTGGTGGAGGTCTCAACTCTAGATTTCAGGGACTCAGTGGACTATGACCCAGCCTCCTCCCCTTCCACAGGTGTGCCCCCCAGCTGCTTGGACTCTGGCCAGCCTCTTTCCTGATCCCAGGCCTAGGCCTTCGGTGAAGGCGGTGAAGGCGGCCTCTAGGAATGAGGCCTCAAGGGTTGTGGGGTTTGTCTGGAGGGAAAGGCTGAGAGCCACGGCACTCCCTCCCCTCCAGTGCGCAAAGACACTACCGCTGCGGACCTGCCCCTAGTTCACCCTCCTTGGGACAGCCCCGTCCTCGGAACTGAAGGCAAATCCTCAGATAAACCCCTTTTAGGCGGAAAAACTCAAAAAACGAATGACTGCGAGGCCTCCGCTGCTCAGGAATTGCAGGATTGGCGCCCTGGAAGGGGCTCACAGTGAATGGGGCTTCATTCTCCAGCCCAGGCTGCCCGAGGAAGGGGAGTCGCCACCCAGAGGCGCAGCCGCGGGGCCCGACGCCTGGGACCAGCCGGGGCCTCCAGCCGCGCTGCGAAAATCCCGGAAAGCGTCCACTTGCGGTGCTCGCAGTGGAAAAGATGACCTCAGCGCCCGGGGCCAGCCACCCTCCCCCGTAGCCTGGCAGCGAGGGGCTCTGGGCCACAGGGGGCCTTGACGGAAGATGGGGGTTCCAGAGCACAGAACCGTTCCCTCTCCGTGCTCTGTCCCGGGGACTCCACATCTTCAACTGGCACCGGCGGGGCGAGGAGGAGAAGGGGTCTCCTCACCCTATTAACCGAAACTCTTAAGCACTGGTGTGCAGGTTCCAGGCCCCCTTCCCTCCCCTGCACCCTCCTCCTGCCCCAGCGCCTCCCAGACGGCATTCTGGACCGGCTCGGGGCGAAGGGGTCACAGAATAAAGACAGAGGCTGAGTACCCAAGGGGGCAACCCTGGGACAGGTCAACGTCCAGCGTCTGGGGGCTTCCGGGTGGACCTTCTCCTGCCCTCCCAGGACTGCCGGCCTATTTCTTTGCATTTCCTCTCCTACCTGCCCTGGGTTTTTTGTTATCTTACTTGGCCAAACGAAGTTGGGACCAGAGAGGTAGGGAAGGTTTCTTTAAAACGTTTCACCTCGCCTCTTGGTATAATACAACAAATAGCAACAGCCCAGCGGTCCAACAACTTCCTCCCAGTTGACCAAGAGGACCTGGATCTTTGAGCGGCCCGCCACAGAGCCCCGCGCGCCCAGGGCACGTTCCTTTTTCCAGGGACGCGGCGCTAGCGCCCTTGAACGGCGCGGGCTCTTCCCCGTTTTCTTTCTTGAAGCCTGAGGTTCGGACTGCTCCTAACCAGGGGCAAGCTGGCGGGGATGGCGGTGGTGGTGGCATTCGACGTGGGTCGAGGGCCTGTCTCGGTGGGGGCCGGGGGCTGCGGTCCGCGCCCTGCCCTTGTCTGGAACCGGGACTGGAGACGTCTGTTCTGCCTTCAAACAGGGTTGTCAAATTGCTCCGTCCCCAAGCTCGCAAGTCTCCCGGAGACCGCCAAACGTTTTCCTTTGGAGAAACCATTCTCTGTGACCCTTTTTAAATGAACATTTCGACGTCAAGCGTGGACTTTCGTTTTGAGTCATTTCAAACGTCTGAGAACCCGGAGGTCAAATCGTATTTGGGGGCGACAGCGCCTCTGGATACATCCCCCTTTCCGTCTGTAGTTATTCCTATGCATTTGATCTTTTGGAATTGGTTATTTTTTGTTGTTTTATAAGGTTGTTTTGTGGTTTCATGTGTGATTCCCTTTGAAGTGTGAGTTTTAAAAGATACATAGGCACATAACGACTGCCTTCCGAGGCTGAGAAAACTCCAGGACCCGGTTCTTGGTGGCCAGGGTCCTGGGGCAGTCCTTGGCCAGTTCTTTCTCCATTTTGCACCCACCCCTGGCCAGCCTGGGCGGGTCCCGCCGCGACCTCGGATCAGAGTCGGGTCTTGCGAACCCGCGGCGCTTCTGGAGGCCACTTCCAGGACCAGGACGTGATGGCCGCTGGGTGCCGGGGCTCGCTGGGGCCGGGTGATGCGGGCCGGAGCTGCTGGGCGGTGAAGACCTAGAGGACCTCCACCCGCTACGGGACTGTGAGAACTGAACCCCGGAGATCCGCTGTGGCGCCTGGAGTGCAGTGCGGGGAAGGAGAGGTTTGACCGGTCGGGGCGCAGGTCGGGGAGCTCAGTGCGGGCGTTGGAGCCGCCCTGACCTTGGGGCGGGGGCAGGGAGAGAGAAAGCCACGTGATGACCGCCTGGAGAGACCCCACTGGCCCCTTCGGGGCAGGTGCTTGTCGCCTACTTGCCACTTAGCTCGCACCCAGGACCTTGCCGGAGCTCTTGAGGCTGCGGGTGACCTGGTTCTGGGGCCGCACTTCGCCAGGAGCACACGCACACGACAGGCCGGCCGGCGGGAAGGGAGCAAGCTGCAGCGAGGCGGCCAGCTGTCGCCAGCAGAGGACACCCGCTTGGGAGCGTCTCGAGCTTTTCTTTACTTTCCCTTTGCTTGCTTTCTTGTCTTTCTTCATCCATTTCCCGTCTTCTTTATTGCAAGGTCTCCCCATCCTCCCCTGCTTCTCGCTCTTATTCTCTCCGCCCCTCGTTTTCTTCCTGTTTTCTTTCCATCAGGACAACCAAACCACAGTTCTGTCCTCCTAATAATGAGAGACGGGATCTTCACGCTACTAGATACCAGCCACTGTGGGTTTAGTGTCTTCCATTATAGGCAGAGTCCTTGGAGGGTTCCACAGCCCTGTGGCCAGGGTCTTGGAGCCTGGGCACCCTGGGGAGCCAGCCCTCAGTGGGAGAAGGAGTCCAGGCCCTGCCCCACCAGTAGGGGAGCAGGAACGCAGGGCCTCCTACAGGATGTCTTTGCCCACCATCCAGCAGGTTGGTGGATGGACACTTGCATCTGTCCTCCCTGACACAGTGCTGTGACCATAAGTCTTTTCCTGCTCTGAAAATTGAGTGAGGGGCAGGAGGAGGCCTGCCCCTGACTCCTCCAGCAGCACCTCCCATTGGATGCCTTGCAGCCCTTGGGAGGGGACGGAAGGACAGGCACAATGCTTATGTCGTAGGTAAGGATTCTGGGGCCTACAGGGAACACAGAAAGGCCACAACACCCTGCTCCCCAGATGCCAGGCCAGGACCAGCCTCATGCCAGGGCTCTAGGCCAGTCCTTCTGCTTTCTGCTGGAGATGATCAAGGGGAGAAAGACGGGAGCTGCCGCCATCTCCACAGGCCCTGATTTCCTGGGCCCTGTCTCCCCACATTACACCTGCCCTGTCCCTGCCCTTGATCAAGAGCATTCCTTGTCCAAACTTCAGGTTCCCCAAATAAAAGGACAGGAGGGGTTTTTAGATGAAACCTTCGCCTAGCCAGTTTTAACAGCCTTAATCAAAACGCTTTTTCTGTAAAGAGCTAGATACGTAAATATTTTCTGCTCTGCAGCCCAGAAAGCTTTGTTGCAGGGACTCAGTGTTGCCATTGTAGTGTGAAAGTAGCTGCGGATAATACATAAACCAATGAGTATGGCTTTGTTCCAATCAAACTTTGTTTATGGACACTGAAATTTGAATTTGATTTCATTTTTACATGTCATGAAATATTCTTTTCTTGATTTCTTTCAGCCACTTGAAAATGTAAAATCCATTCTGTTTACTGGCTTTATAAAACCGGGCAGAGGGTCACGATTTGCCAATTCCTGGTTTAGAATCAATTCCGCTGATTGCACAAATATGTGCACTTGCATTTGAGAAGGGTTACCTTATTTTTAAAATTCTTTTTCTTTTAGTTTTTTTCTTTTTTTTCCAGGGAAGCACCCATTTGTTTAATAGCATGCGAGTCTTAGAAACATAGAATCGCCTGGCTCATTGCCTACTCCTGTTTCTGAATTCTCAACAATTAAAAGTTTTCTTTCTATGAAAACTGTCCGAAGACACTGGACTGAATGAGGCAAAATCATCCTCTCACTTAATCCTCACAATGGTCTTTGGAGCAGAGATTGTTTACTTTGCCTTCTGGTTCCTTACACACTGCTGATTACAGGGTGCTCACTACCTTCAGTGGCAGTCCTAAGGGACTACTGAGAGTCCCCTGACCTGGCCCAGCAGCCCCCAGCAAGGGGGTAGGCCACGGCTGGTGAGATGACTCCCTCTTGGGCCATGTCCTTTCCCATCTCCTCTCATTCCATTGACATCCCCTCCAATGGCTGAGATCTGTAAGACAGACAGAAGGCTATGTCCCTGACTTTCTGGGAGTTTCCCAAGCCCTGAGCCTTTGCAGCTGCCAAGTGACAAATTTGCAAGAAACAAGCGAAGGGAAAGACTATGACATAAAAATAGCTGTTATAAATGTGTAGTTGGCTAAAAGCATTTCCAGGAAATCTTGCTCTGGGGGAGGCCAACGCCACATCTCCCCATGACCCATGGTTCTTGTGCCCTCTGCTGGTCACATTCCGTCTACCAGGATCACCAGGAATCCTCCTGAAACGGAAAGCCAGACAGCATGACCTGTTACATGTGGAATCTAAAGAGTGGAAATCCTGGAAGCAGACTGGAATGGTGGCTACTGGAGCCCGGGGTGGAGAAAATGTTAAAGGGCACAAACTTTTAGTTATAGTATGAACAGGTTCTGAGGATTTATGTACAGCATATAGACGCTGGTGGATGACGTGTGTTGTATACTCACAATAATGTATTGTGACGTGTGCTGAGGGTAGATCCTGAGTTCTCACCATACAAAATGGTAACTATGGGAGGTGGAGATATGTTCATTAGTTCAACCAGTCATTAGTTCTATCCATCATGGTGATCATTTCACAATGTGTGTGAATACCAAAATATCACACTGTAGTCCTTGAATGTATACAATTTCTGTTTGTTAATTATACCTCAATAAAGTTGAAAGAAATTTTTTTTAAATGATGAAAAGAAATGCACATTTTCTTCTCCTCTCTACATAAGTCGACCCCTTGTTGGATGCTGTAGATTCAAAGAAAACAGCATTTTATCTGCTTTCGGGGAATTCGGTTTAACTCGACTAAGACAGATGAGCTCAGACAGATAGCAAGGATGAAGCACATAGAAGGCAGTGGACACAGCAAGGCAGGTGGACAGCTTCCCACGGCAGGTGGCACACCACAGGCCCTGAACCCAAGGAGCTTTCAGAAGCACACAAGATGAAGTTTTCTTTGCAGGTTATTTTTGTGTCTCAGCCAAAAGACCGACCACAAAGTTGGCTTATAAACATTCCCAAACTAGGAGTCAACCCCCTCTGGCCTTCAGGAATATGAGAGGCCTCAGCTCCATGACCCCAGGTTCTTCCCTGTTTTCTGAGTCTACTTCTGGCAAGGGGCATTTCTCAGAACAACCATGGGTTCCCCTGTGCATGCCCTGGCCACCATCTAAGAGCTCGTCCTCCATGTGAGGCCTTGTGTACCCCATCCTCCATCATGATCTCATTCAATCTTACATCTTCCATTCTGGGAAGGTGACAATTTTTTACCCTTCATTTACAAGCAAGGAAACTGAAGCAAAGGGGTGACCTCATTTGCCCAAGTTACCGACGTGGGATTTGAACCAGCATCTTCTCCATAGCACCACAGTGGCCCCTCCAGCTCTGATTATTGCTGAGGTTCAGACTTGTCACTCCAGGTGCATCTGGGCCCATTATCTCACCCTGTGCTGAGTGGAGAAGATGGGCTGAAACAGCCGTCCCCTGCAGACTGACCACTGGTCAGAGAGGGCCACAGAGGCAGCACACACAGCGGGAGGGAATCTCCAGTCAGAGAACAGGGTGCTGGGAGCTCAAGTCTGGTCTAGGATACCCAGGATACTGGACCCTCCCATGGGCAAGCCCCTGTGCTAGCCCCAATCCTGTCCTACTACAGTTCACTCTAGGACAGAAGAACTGTCATATATAAACCACACAACTTCTACGAGTGCAATTCCTGATTGTGCAGGTGCACAACACACATGACTGTGCCCAGCAGTCCTGCCTATTGTTTCCTCCTGTTCTCACAGAACCAGATGTGCTTCAAAAAACTACTATTGCTTTAAGCTGTTGTCATTCTTATCTTTCCCAGAGAATAAGTGACATGTTGAAACAAGGAAGGAAAACATCATATTGGCACATTTCCTGATAAAAATCCACTTTAGAAATTAGAAATTTGCGGGGCTGGGATGTGGCTCAAGCGGTAGCGCGCTCGCCTAGCATGCGTGCGGCCCGGATTCGATCCTCAGCAGCACCACATACCAACAAAGATGTGTCCGCCGAGAACTAAGAAAAAATAAATAAATGTTAAAATTCTCTCTCTCTCTCTGTCCCCCTCTC